CCAATTTTCTGCCCCCCCCCCCCCAATAAGACTCCTGCTCTGAATTCACAGCATGCAAATAAATAACTAAATACAACTCAGGGGCTGGAAATTAAATATTCGTTATGGTAGCGTGTGCTTTCTGCCTCCCTCCTCAATGTTATAGTCAAGGTCACGCTAGCAAGCCTGGAGCCTGCATGTAGTTCAGCAGAGGCATTTGGGAATTTGCAGGGTTGTTTCTGATGCTAGGTTGTGGATTCCACTCAGCCCCACCAGAGGTACCAGCCAGCTTGCCCCAGCTACTGCAAAAACCATTTACTCTTTTACATCACTCTCGCTCTCTCTGACTTTCTCAACCAGTCCTTCCTGTGAAACTGCTTCGCCTTGTCCTTTGTGGGTATTTTTAGATTCCAGTTGACGTTTATTTCCTTTCTCTCCCTCCCCACCCCCTTAAACCAGCCCCTCCCTGATTTCCTTCTCCCCAAAGAGGTTCGATTCCCCCTTCAGCCCCGTAGCCTAGCAACTGGGGTGGAGGCGGGTTGTAATGGTGGACTAAAACAGGCGATCCCCTGTCTGAAGAGATGCTCCTTGGGAAGAGACCCACCGAGGGGAAGTGGCGGCGATACATGACATTGTAAGAGACAGAAGCCCGGGCACTTACTTACTGATCTTGTGGCAGAAGGAGGGCGCGAGTCTTACCTCTCTCCTTCGGATGCTGCCCAGCTGTTGGGGTGTGCACAGACCGCTCCTCCGAGATGCGGGAAGGTGATCAGAGCGGCTCTCCCACGCCCCGGCAGCCACGCTCGCCCAGCCCCGCTGCACCTGACCAGCTCCTGAGCTTGGAAATTGGCCTGCAGCGCGGCGCGTTCTGACGCACGGATGAACTCCCCAGATCTCTGCGCGGGGCTGGGACCCAACCTCACTCTTCCAGCTGCAGCGGGTGGTCCACGCCGGTAGCCTCCCGGCTGCAGAAAGCTGAACGTCTCCGGTCTGCTGCGGAGCAGATCCCACTCCGCTCTGATCAGCCCGTGTGGAAACACAGCCACATCTCCGCCTCTGCTCAGTCTCTGGGCAACTTCTGTCACATCCCTCTGGGTCTCACTCGGAGCCACTTTCTGGAGAGCCAGCTACCTCTCTGCCTGCGCCCGGATCTGCTCCTACCCCGAGAAGACCAGCCACAGGCTAGGTGAGCGCTGCTTTCTCTCTCCCCTCCCTTTCAAAGAAAGGGGGGGGGGAATCTTTTAGCTGGGAGGGGGTGACGCAGGCTTGAGTCACTTGGAGATGCACGTCAGTGAGAAGCGTTGGGCTAGCGGACAAAGATCGGCTGAGAAGAGAGCTGGAGATACCAGTGCGTGGGAGCGAAACCCACCCCTTCTGGGACCAGGAAGGGGTCCCGCTGGAGCTCGGTGGCTTTTTCATAAATAGGCTCCCCGGAGTGCAAAACGATTTGGCTGGGTTGTTACTGTTTGCACAAGAAGGTGAATTTGCGGTGCCAGACCTTTTAAGTGGGTATCCTGCCTTCAGCTGGGGTCAATGTCTGATGCTTCCCAAAAAGGCAGAGCCTTCCCCTCATGCAGCTAGCCAGTGAGGCAACTTTGCACATGAAGTCCTTCCTGATCACTGTGGCAACAGTTTCTGTCCTGAAACATCAGACTAGATTGTCACTAGCTTATCGTTATGACAATGTTGCGTTTCTCTAGCACATTTTATCTGAAAAAAAAAACCGTACTTTATGAAACTCACCGAATTCAGTGTCGTCGAGTTTAAGTCCAGAAGGAGCCCCAGATCATCTAGTCTGACCTGCTGTATATCACAGGCCACCAGCACCACCCAGCACTCCTGGGAGGCAAGTTATTATTCGCATTCCCAAACGGGGAAACTGAGGCACAAACTGGGACTGTGAGCTGGGAATAGAACTCAGGGGACAAAATCTATTCTCAGGAATACCAGTGTAAATCTGGAGCCTCCCCTTGAAAGTCGATGGAGTTAGGGCATGGATCCAAAGCTAATGGGCTTTGAATCCAGACCCAACCCTGCATTTACACTGGTGCCACTGCAGAATTTGACACCACATCTCCTGACTTCCACAAGGGCCCTCTACCTCAGCTACAGATATCCACACAGATCATAAAGTTATCCAGGTAAATGGTTCTATTGAACGCTTCTGATCCCCATTGACTGGTTATAATGAGGCCTCCAGCTGTTTATACCAAAAAAAAAAAAAATCGCAGCTGAACATTTGATGTGCACTCTTTAGTCCAGGCAACCCCTGAGTCTGGCTTCTCATGTTGGACTAACTTGTCACTCACATCATATTATTTCTATAACAGTATAAAGATCAGGGCCCCCTTGTGCCAGGCGCTGTACATACACATAGCAAGACAGAGTCCCTGCCCCAAGAGATTACAATTGAAATAGACAGCCAACGGAAGTATTATCATCTCCCTTTTACAGATGAGGAAATGAGGCCCACGGGGACTAAGGGTGGACCCAGCTCAGGTTTACGTCTGCACTTTTGAAAAGCCCAGGTTATGTGACTTGTCCAAGGACACACAGAGAGTCTGTGGCAGAGCTGGGAATTGCCCCAGATCTCTTGAGTCCCAGCCCAGTACCCTAATCACAAAACCAGCCTTCTTCTCTAACAAAGGCTCATGGGAAACCTGACAGTTGCTAGTATGTAGAATATGATGGTCCAGAATCCTTATACAGTAACTCCTCACTTAACATTGTAGTTATGTTCCTGAAAAATGCGACTTTAAGCGAAACAATGTTAAGCGAATCCAATTTCCCCATAAGAATTAATGTAAATGGGGGGGTTAGGTTCCAGGGAATTTTTTTTCACCAGGCAAAAGACTATATATATATATATATATATACACACACACAGTATAAGTTTTAAACAAACAATTTAATACTGGTACACAGTGATGATGATTGTGAAGCTTGGTTGAAGTGGAGGAGTCAGAGGGTGGGATATTTCCCTTACTGCTAAATGATGAATTAGCAATTGGCTGAGCCCTCAAGGGTTAACTGTCTCACTCTACAAGGCAGCAGGAATGGAGGGAGATCTGCGCATTTCCCTTAAGTATACTGCCTTGTTAATTAGATCAGGTTGCTGAGACCGCAGCTGCTGCAAGCTCCCTCCGTCCTGAGCCCTGGTGTCCCCCCCCCTCTATGGAAGATGGGGTAAGTGGGGTGCAGGGGGGAGGGGGGACATCCTGACATTAGCCCCCCTTTTCCTTCCCTCCCCCCCCGCACAGCAAGCAGGAGTCTCGGGGAGCAGCTCCAAGGCAGAGGGCAGGAGCAGCACATGGCAATGGAGGGAGGGACAGCGGCAATTGCTAGCCTGCTGGGCAGCTGCTGCACAGGGAACTTAGGGGAGCAGGGAGCTGATAGGGGGAGCTGATGGGGGGCTGCCGGCCCAACCTGATTACAAGCCCCCACCAGCTAGCTGCAAGGGGCTGCTCTTTCTGCAAGCAGTGGACAAAGCAGGCGGCTGCCAAATGACGTTAGAAGGGAGCATTGCACAACTTTATACGAGCATGTTCCCTAATTGATCAGCAACGTAACAACGAAACAATGTTAACCAGGATGACTTTAAGTGAGGAGTTCCTGTATACCCAGGCCACTCTGAGCTTATAGTCATGATAAGAGAGAAAAGTAGAGCGAGGCTGACCAACTCCTGAGTTCATGGGCCATATGAATTATCCAAGTTTCTTGTTCCAAACATCTCCCTAACTCTGCAGCAGAGCTTTTCTATTTCGTTATTTACACACATTTTCAGCTCAGTAGGCACAAAACTATTGATTCTTCCCCCCGCATGCACTTTCATGGGGAGAATGATCAAATCCATCAAATACAAGAGGCCTTGATCCTGATTTCCCTCTCTCTGACCCAGGGGAGAAACTCCACTGGGCCAATTCCCCCTCACTAGCCCTAGTATAGATCAAGAGTAACCCGGCAGGGCCTGATTCTCCTCTCACTCATCCCAGCTTAAATCAGGAGTAACTGAACTGAAGTCAATGGAGTTAAACCAACATAAATGAGATGCAATGTGTGCTGCTGGCATGATGGTTCAACCAACATTGCTGCTTTCCAGGCAAAATTATCCTGACACTGCTGGGCCTGCCACTCCCGCCAGACCAGGCTAAACCAGGAATAATACCACTGAAATCCAAGCAGTCACACTGAAGTAAGTCAGATGTGAAAGCAAAATTGTACCCAGCGTGTCTCATCATCCGTTATATAAAGGGCTGCTTCACACAGAGAAAACAACTCATGCCCCAGAGTCTGCGCTGGCTCCTGGTTATTTTCCAGATGGGAGTCAGGCTGTTTCTTTGCATTTTGACCCATAAAGCCCTAAACAATGTGGATCCTGGCGACCTGGTCGCCTCTCTCTACACATGACATCAGAGGAGGTCCATGTATTATTGGACCTTTACAGCTGGAGCCAAAGGCCGCTGAAGTTAATGAAGAGTATAACAGGGTGACCGCCTCCAGAGAACCCCCTCCTGGTCAGGGGCAGCTCTGCAGCAGCATTGCCTCAGTTTCTCTTTTGCAGGGCTCCTCAGAAACTCCACAGCATGGTTTGGCTACTACAGTGACTTGGCCTCCTCCTAAGCTATTAACAAAATCCCACCCCTTCCAGGGCATACCAATAGGGTGACCAGACAGCAAGTGTGAAAAATCGGGACGGGGGTGGGGGGTAATAGGATCCTATATAAGAAAAAGACCCCAAAATCGGGACTGTCCCTATAAAATCGGGACATCTGGTCACCCTACATACCAATCCTAAAACAAACAAAACCACACAGACTTCAAGCCAGTTTCAGACAGGGCCAAGCCCCTCCTTTCTGAGGGCCTGGTCTGTCTGCAATAGACACTCGTCAGCCCACCTTCTGTCTCATCTTACAGCCCTTCCCAGGACTGTTCAGTGCCTCCACCTCAGCTCCTGCTAGCCTCCTTCACATTGCTTTTAAGTGAACATCCACTCCCATAACTTGCTTCATAGAATCAGAGGGTTAGAGGGGACCGTAAGGGACCTCTAGTCTAAACCCCTGCCACGATGCAGGACGTATTGTGTGTAACCCATCCCAGACAGACAGCTAGCTCCAGCCTCCTTTTGAAAACCTCCAGTGAAGGAGTTTCCACAAGCTCCCTAGGCGTCTGTCCCATTGTCCTGTTGTTCTTACAGTTAGGAAGTTTTTCCTGAGGTTTAATCCACATCTGCTGTGCTGTAGTTTGACCCCATCGCCTCTTGTCCTGCCCTCTGTGGCAAGAGAGAACAACTTTTCTCCATCTTTTTATGGCAGCCTTCCAAGTATCTGAAGACTGTTATGTGCCCCCTTAATCTTCTCTTTTCCAAACTAAACATAGCCAGTTCCTTCAGCCTTTGCTTGTATGGCTTGTGTTCCATCCCTCTGATCATCTTTGTTACTCGCCTCTGGATCCATTACAGTTTCTCCACATCCTTTCTAGACATTGGTGACCAAAACTGGACACTGTCCTCCAGCTGAGGCCTAACCAGTGCTGAGTAGAGCGGTACTATCGCCTCCTGCGACTTGCATGCTATACCTCTGTTAATGCAACCTAAAATTGCATTTGCTTTTGTGCAACAGCATCGCATTGCTGACTCCTGCTGAGGTTGTGATCCACCACAGCTCCCAGATCCTTCTCAGCAGTGCTGCTGCCACGCCGGTTATCCCCCATTCTGTATCTGTGCATTTGTTTTTTCTTCCCTACCTTACATTTGTCTTTGTTGAATTTCATTTTGTCATCTATAGCCCAATTCTCCAATTTATCAAGATCCCTCTGAATCTTAGCTCTAGCCTCCAAAGTGTTGGCAATGCCTTCAGCTTTGTGTCATCTGCACATCTTTTCAGCATGCTCTCTATTCCTATATCCAGGTCATTAATAAAGACGTTATACACCACCAGACCCAGAACAGATCCCTGAGGAACCCCACTTGAGACCTCCCTCCAATCTGACATCATTCCATTAATAGTTACTCTTTGTTTGCAGTTGTTTAACCAATTATGTATCCACCTAATGGTAGTTCTGCGAAGTCCGCATTTCTCCAACTTACTTATCAGAACGTCAAGTGGGATTTGTGCTCCCTTCTCTTCCCAGAGAGACGCCGCCCAAGGCCTCCTACCCTATCTGCCCCGGGGCTTGATTGGGTCACATGAACTTCATTTTCCTAACCTGGGGAGAAGAGTTGGCTGTGTCATAGGTGAGACTTAAAGCCCATCCACCCCATGTCAGCCGGCTTGGATGCATGTGAGATCCAAAGTTCTAACAGAGTGGGTGACCATCCATTAGGGGGACTCAGCCGGCACTGTGACCACATGATCATAGCTGGATATAGTTCACCATCTGAGCATGCACCGTGGTTCTGTTAGGGT